GAGAGAGAGAGAGAGAGAGAGAGAGAGAGAGAGAGAGAGAGAGAGAGAGAGAGAGAGAGGGATACGTGAGATTCAGGGCCTCGCTCCACAACTCTCCACGTGCACAAAAGAAAAAAAAAGTGACGGTGTATCTTTTCCATGTTCGAGCAGAAGATTCTTTCTCATTTCGCGCGTTTGGAGAGTAGTGCAGCGATGCCCTCATTGCCGTGTTGCACCCTCCACTACACATGCTACCTTCTTCCCCAGAATACAACGTACGGTCATTCTAGCTGTATCTAGACTGAAAGATGCGTCAAATACAGCTATAATGACCATACGTTGTACTCGGGGGAAGCAGGTAGGAAATCCAATGGACCGTTTCAAGTTTCAACGGATTTCTTGGCACACGTAGTGGAGGGAGCCCAGCTCACCAAATGTGCAAAATGAGAATGAATCTTCGGTTAGGACATGGGTAGATACACAGCCATATTTTTTGTCTTTGTGCATGTGAGCGAGACCCTATAACGGGCATCGAGCATGGGCCTCGCCCCACTACGCACCACATACACAAAAGACAAAAAATATGGCTGTGTATCTTCCCGTATTCTAGACGAAGATTCATTCTCATTTTGCACATTTGGTGAGTGGGGCTCTCTCCACTACGCACGCCAGGAAATCCGACGAGCGGTTTCAAGTTTCAGCAGATTTCGTGGCATGTGTAGTGGAGACACCCGCTCACCAACGGTTTCAAGCTTCTGTCACTTTCTGACAGATTCTGCTCGGGTATAAAAGGTAAGTTTCTGGTTCTTTTTTCTTTTTTGCAAAAGCACTGAGTTCTTGTCGTTTTCGAAATATACACTGCCACGTTTTTGCCTCCTCCCGCTGCTGCGAGCCTCGGCCCCTCGCTGCCTCAAAAACAAAACCAAGGGGCCCTGCGCGGCCTCAAAAAAAAAAAATCTTTTTTCGTAACCCGGCGGCGCAAAGTGCCTGCCGGCCTTGCAACCCCCCCCCCCAACTTCCGTTTTTTTTTTGTGACCCCCCGATTTCACAATGCGCTGCATGCCATGCGCGCTCGTCGTGCGCACTGCGCACGGCGGCGCACGTGCGCATTGCAGCGCATGGCAATGCGCTCCATGTATGGTATTGGCGCCTGATGAGGTACATTCAATGAAGACCGACCGAAGAGGACAACAAACGAGGGGCTGTGACAAACTGTTTCGTCAGGAGGGTATAGAGTATCGGTTAACTCACGTGCCCTTGAAGAGAGTGTCGCCTGTAATCAGAATCTTGTCGTTTAGGCAGCCAGGAATGCTGGGCATGAAAAAAAAAACAGAATCAGGTGGGAAAAAGACAAAACAGCATTAGTTAAAACTTATTTTTCGCAAAAAAAAAACAAGACAAAGGTAATTCAAATGATCTTTTTCTCTATCTCTATACCATAAAGCAGACAGCGCTCCTTGCGCGAGGCTTCCTTTGGGCCCAGCAAAAGGTTGTGGCACACGGGACCCGACAGGCAGGCAGAAACAATTTCTATAGGTGCGAACTGCGTACCACTTTTTTTTTTTTTTTTTTTTGGGTGTTAGCGATCGTAGTATATCAACCAGCTCCCTTGCCCACTGCCAAATTATGTCCGCTGCCACGCTGCTTAGAAAACCGGTCTTGATCCACTACACCCCACCCACATGCACAAAAAATTAAAAAATATGGCAGCGGAGTATGTTTCCATGTTGTTGTGATGGATACTTCATTCTCATTTTGGCAGAATTGGTGAGTGCTGTTGGAGCAAGACCCAACGGCAGCTAAACGAAGACGCTACTGATGATATCAACAACAAACACTGTTATAACAGCAACAACCACAACCACAACCACAAAACAATAACAACAAAAACAATAACAACAAAAACAATAACAACAAAAACAATAACAATAAGCACAGCAATAGTGATAAATTAAGAATAGACCTGTACAATAATACCGCATCATACACGCCACGCGAGACCTGTAGACACATTTCGGCCTTGGTCGCCGGCGGAACTGGGCCGGTGGTAGGCCGGGGGGTGAGCGGAACACTGGAAGGCGGGTAGGCTTGCCAAGGGCAGCAATCACCACAGAAACCTCTTTTCCATCACCACAATCATTTTCTTTTTTCTTTTCTTAATATCTCACCATATGGTCTTATCATGACTCTTACGTGATATCTCATAGTTGTTCTATTTGGACGGAATTTTGAGGCAATGACCATTACTTTGTAATGCTGTCGTCCAAATCTGGTACGGGATCCTTCGGCGGGGACGGAAGGTATCGTGGAGTGGGAGTGTGTATATCTTGTGTTTAGTGGTCACACTTGTCAGTGGAATGCGGCTGGACTGCCACTCCCCAGAGTGGACAAGGGGTCAGGACGCATAGAGACACACTTGTGTGGCTGAGAAGAATGGTAGAGGGCATCCAACATCTGTGTACTGTATCAGAGGATGCGCACAGACCCGGTTTGCCTCTGGGCACACTTGCACCTTCTGTTGTCTGTTATTTGGTCACGCTCGCTCACATGCATCGAACAATTAAGGACGGGAGGCATAGAGCGAGAGGTAGGGGCAGAGGGACAGGGAAACAGAAGGCAAGGAGGACAGAAAAATGGGAACACCCCGCTTAGCTCCTGAATACTCACTGGCACAGCAGTCTGCTAGATACTGACATGAGAGGCAGTGGCCACTACTCGACGAGCAGTGCTGCACAGTGGGATGAATTGGAGAGCACAGCAGTGCTGCCTAAGAAGGAGCAGCAGGTGTTGCCAATGGTGAATGGCTTCCCCCACATACCAGTCATGAGCAGTTTGGGTGTGGGATGTGTAAGCACCGCGTTCACTCCTTGCAGACACAGTCACAGTGTCCTGCTGGCAAGCGGGCTCTACATTCAAGGAACAACGCCACACAGCGATCGCAGTTATATAGGCCGTGCACTTCCAGCCCCTCTCTACAGAAAGGATATTGCACGTGAGAATGCTGTGAACACGTCAAGGAACTGTCAACGGAAGTGTTGCAAACCAAGACTTTTGCATCTACCATATCCTCATTATTCGTCACGACAGTGGCAATGTCAATTGCATGCCACATCCACACATCACCCGGGTCACCACAGTGCTGCAGCAGTGTAACTTGTACTACTGGCGTAGACTGTCTGTACGTGGATGATAGCGGATGTGAACTTTGAATCCAAAGCAAGCATTTATTCAGCTGTTGCAAAATGTGGCTCGCCCCCGCTCACCCTGGGGGGGATAACCTACCAGTGCACTGCACTGCAGCCTGGTTCATGATTTTGCAGATGTGATGGAGCATTTGTGGTCCCATGGATCCACATTTTGGGACTGCATGTCGTCCATCGCAGTCTGCTGTATCTCTTCTTCAACTGCTGCTCACGGTTGCTGTGTCTGCTCTTCGATTGGCAGGTATGCAACATGCTTGTTCTTTTTGCCGCAACCTTTGCGGTCCGAGTCCGTTGATTCAGACTCCTTCCACTCTGCCGGTGGGTGCAAAGTGTGGTAGGTACTACGAGCTTTCTGCCCCACTCGAAAATACAGAGATGGGATGCAGAAGGCAGAAGGATCTCCATCATAGGTGCAGCAGGAGGGAGTCCATCATTGCAAGCAGGACATGAGCGAACAGGGTATGGTGGATGGTGACGTCAGGGACCGTCTACGCAGTATCTTTAAGATAGCTTCCCAGAAACAACGGGGACACAAGCCATGTTGTTCGCATGCCAAACAGTAAACAGACCCACGCTCCGCAACAGCATACCAGGCATGCGGTTGTATCTCACGGCCGCAACAGCATACCGGGCAGCTTGGGATGCGACAGATACCGTGATCATTTACCCGGCATCAACAAATGTGGAAAAAAAAAAAAAAAGACAAGAAAAACGGGTGGAACCGCAGAAGGATGCATCCAAGACAAAGGAAGGATCAGCGATCCTATGGCAGAGGCTCGCAGTGATCATCTCTTCGCAGTGGTAGGAGCAGAAATTCTGTCGTGCACAGAGTCATTCTACTATACCTGCATGTCAGAAACTGACGGTCCTGTGGAGGGGACCACCCTATCATCATCAATGCCAGGAGATTCTTTCTAGAGCTAGGGCTGCAGCTTATTCACATGCAGGGGAGGGATGAGGCTGTGGACCAAAACGTTCCCCAGAGGTGATGGAGCTTCATTTTCGCCAGGATGTTGTCCCGCGAGATAGGTAACCACATAGAGGTACCCATTAAATTGCCAAATTCAGTGTGCCCTGACCAGTTCATCACAGAACAGTTTAAATTTGTAAACTTTAAAATCATCGTAGGTGTGCACCCTCCTGACATTGCCCACAGAGTCCAGAATTGGGTCTATCAAGGTAATGGCCCTGAAGCGCCCAGGATGATGATGCAGGATATCCGCATGGCTATCCAAACTCAAAAGTTTTACTCGCAGACCAAAGAAGGGTTCTGCAAACGTAATACTCAACCCTTTTCTTCACCTATATTATCCCTTTACCTTATTTAAGCAACAAGCGGTCCTCACATGACGCTCCCATGCGAGGCCGAGCGCCAGTGTTGGGAAAAAAAGGCCGGGGACCCAGGGCGGGCCCAGCAAAAAGTTGGACGGGGCCGTGGCTCTCTCTGTTTTATTTTTTTCCCCTCCCTTACGAAATGCTTTTTTTGGGGCAAAGACGGGTGGGATCGCGCGGGAGCTTTCTGCAACGAGTGTTCAAATATTGTTTTTCGGACTTTTTCCGCGATTTTTTTTTGAGTCTGGCGGCGACTGTTTGGGCCGAGGTTGGTTTGGGCCTGTGTGAATGGAGTTTGGGCGGTGCGATTGTGCGGAACACTCGGGCGGAAGGCTGATGTTGGAGCGGTTTTATGAACGTGGTCATTTTTGGCTGCGGGTTTGTGGACTGAATCTACAAGTGTGGCAGCGTACATTTCCATGTTCTAGCAGAAGATTCATTCGATTTTGATCATCGATTTTGATCATCCTAACAATGGAAATAGTGCACGGCTAGCCGCGAGGTTGGAAACTTACCTCTTCTCTCTCCCTCCTGTGTGTGCGTCTCTCTCTGTCACACACACACACACAAAAAAAAAAAGTGGCAGTGTATATTTCCAGGCTCTAGCGGAAGACTCATTCGGATTTTGCCCATCCTATAGATCGAAGTAGCCTCTCTCTATCTCTCTGGGCGCATAGCTGGAAAGAATTGTATATTTCCATATTCTAGTGGAAGTCTGGAAGATTCATTCCGATTGTGCTCATCCTATCGATAGAAGTAGCATGAGGCCAGCAGCAGGGTTGGAGACTTACTTGTTGCCCGCTGTGTTCCTCATCCTATCCATGGAAAACTCTAAATAAAATCCCCATGAAAATACCACTCGATTGAGTCCCTCTCTCTCTCTCTCTCACACACACACACACACACACACACACACACACACACACACACACACACACACGCACGCACGCACGCACCACATTTGCATCCAACAGCTCCTTAGTCCATACTGACGCCGGGATTTCTTTTCAATGTATTTGTCCGTTGTGGTGTATCTTCCTATGTTCTTGCAAAAGATTCCTTATCATTTTGCACATTGACAGACTGCTCAGTTAATGCACACATGAAACTGTTGAAGTGCAGATGTGAGTTTGAATCCAGCGGCGACCACAATCAAGTAGTTCTGATTGACGCCTTGGCCGATGGCCCCCCGAATGCTGCGCGTCCTCATGTTCTAAAACAAACACCCTCAATGTCATCCGGGCCAGATAATGGCCATCCCTGGGGGGCACTGGCGCTGGCTTCGCCGCAGTAGGTTCACTTGTTACCCTTTACTGTGGATTTGCATGTTTTCCTCTCTCTCTCTCTCTCTCTCTCTCTCTCTCTCTCTCTCGATCGCACACACAATCGATCTCTCATCCACTTCACCTCTCCAACACCACTGGAGGGGCATTTATAGACACAGTCTATGGATAGTTTGCTTGCATGGTAGTATTTACGTACTTTTCCAATAAAATGCATTGACTCCCCGGAGTGTGGCCAGGCGTATGCAGGAATTTCAGCTTTATTTCACCAACATACAGCTCAGAGTTGTCCTGCAGACAAGGATGCACGGCAGCAAATATAAACATGGATTGATCAAACCTTCAGCCATACAGGGTCTCCTAGACTCTTCACATACACGCAATGCTCGAATTTTGCTAAGCAGTGAGCACAGAGTTCAAGCAAATCCAGTCCTTCGGGAGATCCGTTAAAATTGAAACGATACAGAGAAGATTAGGCTGATTAGCATGAAAAAAAAAGAAAAAAGAATTCAAGCGAATCCAAGCACAGCTTGCTTGATCAACTGGTACGGAGCCAGAGCCATCAGGCCGTGTCTTTTTTTTTTTTTTTAACCGAGTCCAAGCACAGAACGAGATGACTCAGCTACCCACCCCCTCTACTCTTTTACCCTTGCCCTTTCCCCATGCTCCTGAAACTCTCCACAGCCATCTTATCTATTACCATACCAAAAACCGAGCAGCAGCAGGCAAGAGACCTAGGGAAAGGAAGTAAAGGAAAAATTACTGTTGACTGGCGCTCAGTACAGATTCACAGCAGCAGGGAGTGTCAGCAAGACTTGCAAGCGAAAGCAGGAGGACAACAACAACAACGACAACGACAGCAACAATGACAACAACTACAACAACGACGACGATGACAACGACAACGATGACAACGACAACGATGACGACGACGACGACGACGACGACGACAAAGAGGAGAAGAACGAGGAGGTGGAGGGGAAAGGGGGGGGGCAGGGTAAAGCAGGGTACAAAGGCCATTACTGAGCCTTGGCAACTGTCACATTTCTACAAAGGACAAGAACTACGGCCATGCGCTGTGCTATTAAACCACAGCCACATCCATTGAGAACATCACAGCATTGAACCACTGCATTGCAACCATTCAAAAATAACACGTGTCAAACATGGCACAAGACGGCAAGTTCCCAACCTTCGGATGGATTAAAAATTGAAAGAGATGCCCTCGCAAAAGCTGCATTACTGCAGGCATCAGCACAAAGTGGCTGCGTTACAGAGGCATGCCAGCAAAAAGTCATAAAACCCTGATTGTCTTTCCCACAATGGTAAGTTGCCATGACGACCAAGCGTGTCCCAGTTTCACCATCTGGTGTGCAGGGGGGCAAGTGAAAAGCGAAAAAAACTCGTAGCCTTCACCACCCCCCGTCCCCCACCCCTGGGCCTATAACCTCCCCAACCACTAACCGCCCCCCCCCCCCCCCCCCCCGGGCCCCTACCACCAGTTTTACCATCTGATTTCCACAGGAGAACGGAGAAGGTGAAAAGCAAAAAAGAACTCACAGCCTTCACCCCGCGTCCCCTTTCCCTGTGCCTATGACCTCCCCCACCACTAACCGCCACGCCCCTCCCCTAACCNCTAACCGCCACGCCCCTCCCCTAACCAGCCCCTAGCCCTCGCCGCTGCCCCTACAACCCTCTGCCCCTCCGCCCCTTACCCCCCGCCGCTGCTCCTGCACCTACTTGCTCTCTGCCGCGGCCGTGCCGACACCATCCCTCCCCCCCCCGTACTGGAAAGAAAGGAAAAAAGAACTCACCTCTAACTCAATGATTGAGGTTGCAGGAACCTTGTTCTTTGTGACCAGAATCTCTGCATCATGTTTGTTGACATAAATCTACAAATTTGCCAGCATGAAAAAGGCACCACAAAATCCGGTCAGCAGCATTAGTCACCACGGTGAGAAAGCAAACTGTGTGAAATACATAACAATAACAAAAGCTAAAAGAAAAATAAAATAAAAGGACGGAGAAGGAAAGGAAAAAGGAGAAGGGGGAAAAAAAAAAGGAAAAGAAAATTAAAAAAAAAAAACAAAAAAAAAACACTAAGCAGAGCAGCTCACACAATGCGAGCAATTCTCCAGGTGCCCCTTCGTGCGATCAAGAATCTGATCTTCCACCCTCCTCATCAAAATTCACAAGGTAGACATGCACTGACTATAGTCTCAGCTCCACATAATAATAATCCGGACGTCCAGACCATTAGATAGTTCCACGTCACCATACAGGCATTGTGGTCGGTAATAATTTAAAAAACCTTAATCTTTAAAAAAATGCATAAAACCTAGGAAGATTTTCATGCCCGGCCGGGCACCCGGGCATGACGCCCGGGGTACCTGGGCATACAAATCCGGGCTCTTTTCATTTTTTGAGAGCTGGCTGTCAAGAGGGGGGAAGGGGGGTATTAATTTTTTTAAGGGGCTAAGGGGGGTCCTTTAGTGTGATTTTGTTATTTTCTTTTTTATCTCCGATTCGGTGAGCAATTCTGATGTGACCCTCAGCCAAAAGTTGTTTGTATTGCAATTCTACACAACATTTTTTTTTTGTGGAATTTTTCGACTTTCGTTCTTTTTTCTTTTTTTTTTTTGCGCTGGGGCTGCGCGGAACCCTGCCCGGGGGTGATGCCCGGTCGGGCACCCGGGCGTGTATACGGGCACAAGTCGGGTGCCCGGGCGCCCGGAAAAACAACCTAGCATAAAACAGTTAAGACTTGATAAAAGTATCCCCCAAAAAACGAAGAAAATATGTAGAACTGCGATGATCTCCACTAAATGGCAAGCTTCCTAAACGAAGTCATGCTAGAAAGGCAAGAACAAAAAACAAACAACTTGTGGCACACCGCGTTCTCAAGACCATGGACCATATTCAGTAAACGCAACATAAGCCACAAGTTGTTTGTATTTTGTTCGGCGAACTTTGCACTGAAACTTGTGGACCATATTCAGTGAATGCAACGTAAGCCCTCCAATGGTGGGAAAGATGTGAAACATCTCCATAGGTCGTCAGCAACCATCATCGCAGAAGCATAACTTCTGGACAATCTGACAGTTTTTCAGTGCAAAATTCCGGGAAAAAAACACCCCCGGTGAACCACTTGGCAACTTGATCAAAAACTCAATCACCATCTTAACTGACTGTTTTCATAATATCACACCTCGTGGAGCACACAATGGCCACAGGGTGTGATATTATGAAAACCGTCGGCTAAGATGTATCTGACAATAGACCACAGGCCAGGGAAGATTGACACTAGGACGGTGGTGGACGTATCCAACCAGAATTCCACATTGGACTGGATGTATCTGACAATAATTATGTCCAGAGGTCGGTCGAGAAAGTCCTACAGTGAGTATGCTCTTAGCAGCTATGCAGGAAAAGTAATGCTGACATCACTTGGTTGAGCATAATTGGTCGTAACTTCGAGTGCCACATGGTTAAGCATACAGTTAGAGACACTCTGTATGAGTCTATCTGTCTGCCTGCCTGACTGCCGGTCGGTTAATGGGTCGGTCAGTCTCTGCATCCTCTCTCTTTCTCCCTCTCTCTCTCAGAGAGACAGACCAAGAGAGAAAGACAGCACTTTACCAGGCTGAACTACCTGTTCGGTTTTTCGGCCAAGTGTGAATTGAACTCT